TCGAATAGAAGACTGGACAATCCTTGCTATCGCACTTCACCTCATCACCGAACGTAACACCCATACAAGACCGGCAAACACGCAGCAGATCAGAAACGCTCTTCTCCGCATGCCGTTGGCGAGTGACCAAATCAAGCAGAGAGATATGCGGCTGTCGCATGCACTCAGTACAGACCGGAACATCAGTATCGTCCAGCTTGGCTTTGCAGACGATACAGGTTGAAGACTTCATATATGATTCAAGGGTAGTCTTTCTGGCGTCCTTGCCGGTCGAAGTTGCTGTACCTTCTACCCGACGAATACGTTGCACTTTGGGCATTTCATCATACCATTGGCGGACGTTGGCACCCACGAGGTTGAAGATTCGCTCTAAAGGTGGGATGATGTTCTTGGTGATATAATATTCGGCATCGAGTTCCAGTTGTGCATCGTGTAGAAGTGTCTCTGGTGGTACACAGCGGTCGATTAATCTTGAGCCTGGAGCACCGGTTACAACGACGTAAGGAACTCGTTCCCCGTATTGGGGTTCTAGACGTGGATCTTCGAGCATTTTCTTGGTACTGATTAAGGCGCCCGGAGGAGGTATGCCTCGCTCGCTATACGTGCCGAGCTTTACTTCTCTAGCGAAGCAGAAGTCTTGGATGGAGACTCGTCCTTGGAGGATCTTTGTGCACTGTTTCTGGAAGTAGCGTTTTACTTGGCTTAGATCGGCCGTGCGGAATAGAAGCTTCAGTGCCTTTTCTTCGATTTTCTGTTCGGCTGGGGTGCCATCTCGGCGGACTGTTTCGATGCCCTTTGCGTCGAACTCGGGTTCTTTCTGGTCTCTGTGTTCGTATTTGAAACCGACGTAGCGTTTCTTGGCTAGAAGAACGCATGGGTGGTAGACTTTTTCGAATTTGAGTTTTACTGGCGTTGGGTTCGTTTCTGTTACGGCTTTGGCGATTTCTTCGCCTATGTTGAAGGCTTCGTCGCGAGTGCGTCCCTTAAGGTAGACAAAGAGACTGTCTGTGTCTCCGTATACGACCTCGGCACCCCAGCGCTCTACAGAATGGATCAGGGCAATGGCCTTCTCCAGTGTTTCTCGTCCCGATTGGACGATACTGTCGGCTATCTCGGAACAGGGCATTCGCCCTGAAAATGATGCGGATGTGTAGCCGTATGTGACGTTCGCTATTAGTTTGAGGGCGAGTTGTCTATTGTTGAGAAGACGTTGTAGCGCCTTGTCGTCCTTGTCTATCTTCATTCCGGTCTTGACCATGACCCGAGTCTCGAGGATCTCGGCGAGCATCCTTGCGAGCAGCGATTTGCGTACTTCGGGCTTCGCGTACATCATGCCATTTGGCGCGATGTTGATCTTGTCCTCGAACAGTTCTAGCAGTCGTGGTTGTCTTTGGTATTCTGTAAATCCCATCTTGTCTCGGCCTCTCCATTGATGTACTCGTCCGAGGAAAGTCGAGTAGCAGTAATTATAGGCAATCATGATGCTAGGGTACAGTGATTGGAAATCCAAGACTATAAGGGGACTGGTATAGAAGTCACTTTGGGGCTCCATTACCAATGGAAGACATTCGAGCGCATTTTGCTGGCCAACTTGTTTCTTGCTCGGCGATACAAGTAGGAAGTTCTCGGGTTTTGCAATCCGGAACATCAAAGACTCAACCTTGAACTGGGAACCCCGAGAAAATACTGAGTAGAAGTCGATGCCTAACAGTCGCGCCTGCTCACTGATTCTCGGTACTAGCTCGTTTGATTCTAGGATCTCAAGATTCATTTGTACTCGAGAGACGAAATAGTCGACGACTTTCATGAGATCGCGAGGCTTTCCACTCTGGTACCATTCAGTGAGATCGCGAAACGAATAATGAGGTATTCGCCGGTGTAATAGATGGAATACGACGTTCTCCATGCTATATTGGAGCAAGTTCAGTTCACTCCTCATAGCTCGCCAGATATTGATCATATGTCGTCCGCTTACTCGAATAGAAGATGTATGGTTGAATCCCCATCGGTCAGCATCCTTACCAAACCTGCCATGTGCCTGTGACTTCACTCTCGATAGCTCGTCACATATGTCAAAATCATACTTCTTTCTGGCTCTCTCAATCACATATCCCCAAGAGCCGTTGTGAACTTCATACCCGGTGATAATGTCTGGGTCATGCAGTCTGACAAGGTCCACTAGCCTGTTGATCAAGTCCAACTCCGTTGGCTCATGTTCTAAGTCGATTCTCACAGCTCTAGAAAGCTTTTCTTCGGGTTTGTCATATTCACCCTGAAAGACCATTCCAACACGGACGCCCGCAAGGTGACTGTTAACATCGAGATCCTCGTCATCTGATTGTATACACCAGGAGATGCAGGATATCTCATCTTCTTCTGGGTTTGGAGCAAGTACATCACGCGTATTAACATGAACTTCTAAGCTCATTATGCTCATATACTGGGCCTGATGTTCGACACTGGTAGACCTCCCTTTCTGCGAGTACTTAAATCCATATTCATTCTTTTGTGTTGGACCCTCAATCTGTGAGAGGATGTTAAGCTTCGTGTTCGGTTCGTGTAGATGCCTCTCTGGCTGCACAGTTTTGGCCTCCGGTTCTCGTTGTATGCTCTCGAACCACTGTACAACTTCAGAGCGACTTGGCGGCACGGGGGCAAACTCCCAGATTCTGGAGGTAGAAGACGCCCTGAGATACTGATCAATTTGCTCTTGCTCTTGTCTATCTCTTAGTATCGAAGTTTGTTCGCCAAGCATCGCAGGTGACCGGCCGGTGGGATCAAAGTCAGGGAGATAATGTATCCCACGGCCTTGTAAGCGGAACTCCCTGCCTGCATAGTCTCGTGGGCGATCTGGCACATCACCCTGATCACTGTAATGGGCTTTGTCATAGATAGCAGCCGGATAGTCGTAATCGCTAAGGGTAGACGACACCTCGCTAGGACTGGGGCAGGTAAGCCGTAAACAGCATATCCGTGTGTTCTGTGGTATGTTGAAAGCTTCATAGATCATCAGTGCCATCTCTGACAGAGAATAGTTTGATTCGGTGGACTTGCTTTCAGTGGACGACATTAGTAATGGCAGCGAGCTCTTATCTTCGCCCGCATCTTTCGAGGCATCTATGTTGGGTTCGGCTAAGTCCGCAATATCCTGCGTTGCTTTCGAAGGACCACCATCCTGGCTGAAGCGCAACATCGTCATGGGGTCATTTGGATCCTTGACGACTGGAAAACTGAGCCTGTTGTTCTGTCCGCTGCCTTTAGGACGACCTCTTGATTGTGTAAGAGGCTGTGGCTGCGAAGGCGAACCCATCAACGGTTCATGACTACGAGCCATATCCTCAAATTCGGCATTGTTATTATATCGAACACCTTCATTTTGATCCAACTCTTCATTATGATGTTCCGAATGTTGAAAACGACTTTTTGAGGAGTACTTCGGCCGCTTGTTAAATTGGATATGATCAATTATTTCACTTTCTGGGCGCTTGAGGGAACTCTCTGCCCTCCGTATGTCCTCTTTGATCTTCGCCTGGCTATTTATATGTTCCAATCTATTCCGTTCATAGGGATTAGAGCGATGTCTGCTTGATGGGCCTTCTGTCAGGTCGAAGAATGGCTTATAATTGGCAGAAGTGCTAGCCAGGGGCGCATTCGGCTCTCGGTGTTCCTCAAAGGGTAGATCAGAGAACGCATCTGCCAGCGGGTCATCAAAGAAATCTCTTTCCTCCTCATCGTTACCTTGTTCTGAGAAAAGGTCGGCAATGTCATCGTCGTCTGAACAGTATGAGCCGTTATCGGACGCTCCGAGTAAAGCAACATTTTCGTTGGTATAAGCATCTGCGCTCGCCGATTCACATGTTTCGAGATACTGAGGTGCTTGTAGATTTGGGAACTTATTGTTGTCCGGATAAAGATCCTCGACACTCTCTAGTACAGTCTTGACATCAGTCTCGAGAGGGTCCTGTACGAGGAAATCATGGACATTAACGTCCCCACCACCATATTGACGCCTTTCCTCAGCGACTGTACGGGGTGTCAACTGACGATATTCCTCCTCATGGATCCACTTCCCTTTATGGTGTTCCCTGGTAGCGGCTGATAGCGACACTAGTTCCTCGGGGCCAAACGGGCTACTACCAGGATCAGCTAGTCCTATACGTTTCTTCCGCCTGCGTGTTTCATCCTTCCATAGTCCCTCCATGCTAGGAACAAGTTTCTCATTCTGGTCGACTGGCTTCAGAAACTCCGTGAAATCATGATGTATAGGTCTCTCGCGAATTTCGAGACGATTCATGATATCTTGCACACAAACATCCACCTCTAGGGGACAGTGACTTTGCTTCGGGAGTTCTGACGCATCCGAAATACTATCTGGTTGTATGGATCGATCATGCCAGCGATGCGATAAATTAGTCAGTTCGAGATACTCCGGTACTGGGGATCGAAACCTGACTTTGCTACACTTCATATACGCACAGCCGTACAAACTATAGTCACACATCCATTGCGGGATATATTGTAAGTGGCTTTCGTAAGGCTGCAAAGGCCGCTTCAATATAGCACCTTGGAGCAATAGGTCCGCTACTCTTGTCGTATAGATAGGGCTAAGAAGATAAACCTTGAAGAAGAAACGATAGCCCACATGATAGCCATAGAAGGGGACGCCCTTTACTAAGGTAATATGGGCAACGAAGGCGGCCTTTTTGTCATATGCATCGCGACGGTAACTTAATGCCAATGCGTGGTCAATCGAGATGTGAAGATCCCTTATAGCATGGCGGACTATATACACTGTTTAGCCTGGATTGTTATCAGGCTAAGGTACGCTAGATAGACAAACCTTCTTCTGGACTTAAATCACCGTCGTATGGGACATACAGGTACGGAAATGCGCCGTGAACATGGACACATACTTTTTGACCTGTTTCTGTAGCTCCGAATATCCTAATTATGGGCACTTTGGGTCTATCATATTTCCCGGTAGATGGATCCCGGTAGGGAAACGGAGGATCAAATTCGGATGGCGCGGCTTGGTAATGATCCACGCAATTAAGGCGCACTTGAAAAGGCTCCATCGGTTGCGTGTTTGACAGCCCAAGCTGTCAGCGACATGACCAGCGTGTATACAGTGAACTCATGTCACCCGTGCTGGCACTCTACTGGTGTCGCCATCCGTAATGACAAGTTAATTGAAGTTGACTGGAACCATGACGTGTAGCAGCCACTGAAAGTTACGCGCCTCCCAAGCGCGGACAAAACACCAAGTCACGTGCACGTTATCAAGTCTATCAGGCGATCTTCCAAACTCAAGCAAAGGTCTTAATCTCGCGCGGTAAAGTGCAAGCCGCCGAACAGGTTCTTCCTCGCCTCACGGTTACGATCGCAATACAGATAATTCGATAGTACTCCGATATATTACATCTTTCGAGGCACACCGTCACCATGTCATCACGAAAGCCCGCCGATGTGGCGTCGAAGGAGCGCAATGAATATATTCCGTCTTTCATCTCAAAGAAGCCGTTCTATATAGATGACGATTCCACAAATGATTATCTGGAGCATCAACGTCTACAAAAGCAGACTACAGAGCAATCGAAGTGGTATGAGCGCGGAAAGCGTGCCGGTCCAGCTGCGACCAAGTATCGAAAAGGCGCGTGTGAGAACTGTGGTGCGATGACCCACAAAACAAAGGAGTGCCTTAGTCGGCCTCGGAAGCAGGGTGCGAAGTGGACCGGTAAAGATATTCAGGCCGACGAGGTGGTGCAGAACGTCGATATGGGATGGGATGCCAAAAGAGATCGATGGAACGGCTACGATGCCAGCGAATATCGCCAGGTGGTAGAAGAGTACGAAGAGCTTGAAAAGCTCAAACGAGTAACCGGACAAAACAAGATTACAGATGGTGAAGATGAGGAAGGAGGTGCGGAGGAAGAGGCACGGTATGCTGAAGAATCTGATATGGGAAGACAGCAAAGCACAGCTACTCGAAATCTACGTATTCGAGAAGACACTGCGAAATACTTGTTGAACCTCGATCTTGACTCGGCGAAATATGATCCCAAGACACGACGGATGGTGGATATGGGCGCTCAGGAAGATCAAGCCGCAGCCCTTGTTGCTGAGGAAAATTTCGTTCGCGCTTCCGGCGATGCGGCGGAGTTTGAAAAAGCTCAAAAATATGCCTGGGAAGCTCAGGAAAGCGGTCGGCAGAAGATTCACCTGCAAGCAAATCCGACGTCTGGAGAGATCTTACGGAAGAAAGAACAGGCAGATACTGAAGCTAAACGTCAGGCCCAGCGTAAAGCACTTCTGGAGAAATATGGTGGTGAGGAGCATCTGGCTCCGACACCGCTACGAGATACCATGGTCGTTGAAAACGAAAGGTTCGTTGAGTATGACGAGACCGGGGCGATTAAGGGCGCGCCGAAGAAAGCAGCCAAGTCAAAGTACCCGGAGGATATCCTCACCAACAACCACACTTCCGTATGGGGCAGCTGGTGGCACAACTTTGAATGGGGATATGCTTGCTGTTACTCCACGGTGAAGAACAGTTACTGCACCGGCGAAGATGGAAAGAGGGCATTCGAAGAGGCAGATAAGATGTTGATGCTAGAAGCCGTCGGTGGAGCAGATGAGCAGCCTGAAGCTGAAACCGAAGATGTAGTAGAACGTCCGAACCAAGAGCAGGACATTGACGATAGGAGAGCAGAGGACTCCGGCACCAAGTCGAAAAAGAGGACGTTGATGGAGGTACAATCTGGTATCACCGAGGAGGAGTTGGAGTCGTATAAAAAAAGCCGTCTCGCGGCAGATGATCCTATGGCTAAGTTCATAGGGAACGACATCCTTGAACAGTAAACTATATGGTTCCCTCCAGCTTTCTTCGATTCTACTTAGTCATTAGAGCAGTTCAATATGGGGCGCCGGGCGCTTTTGATGAAATACCCTGTAAACAGTGTATAATATAATTTGTTACTTTATATAGCTATTTTGAAAGTCCTCGGGGAGAATAGAAAAAAAAAGTTAAAGAAGAAGAAAACATTCGTGAATACTATAGATTCAAGTTGACTGTGCTGTTTCTGAAAAGTCCCTCCCCTCCATATTCTACGACCTATACTCGTATGCTGGAAATGATACCTTAAATCGAAACTAAGACCATGTCAGGCTTAGCTCAAATACTTTGGTGGAGACGATGGTACATCATGTGACTTATGGTTCCCGTTGGAGAATACAGAATCACGAGACCAGGGCACAAGCCCTGGTGACACACACTCGCTAAGCGGCAGGCGCCCCAGATCTCAGCGCGCAACTTCCGATACGCCTAGCGACGACGACAACGACAACCAGCCCTTCAGCGGAATCGCCAGGTAGGTCACTAGCCCCCATATGATTTCGGAGCGCAGGATTTTGTGACGGACAATTTTTTGCTGACATTTACTGTGTTCCTCTGCAGTTCCATAATTCAAGATGAGTACGTACAATCTCGATATTCCAGCCGAACAGCAACATCTGCTTCGACGCCGATAAGACTTTGCAGACTGACACCGATTACAGCGAAGGGTACCTCCAGCTTTGGCAAGCGCCACAACAAGACTCACACTCTCTGCAGGCGTTGTGGTCAGTATTTCATCACTCCGAATTGTTGCCCGACAAAATTTGCCGATCTCTATAGGGGATACAGCTAGGAGGGTCGGGAGGAATATTGGTATTCAGATAAGCTAACCGGTTGCGATTTGCGTTTGGGATATTCAGGCCGCCGCTCTTTCCACGTCCAGAAGTCGACATGTGCCAACTGCGGTTACCCCTCCGCTAAGGTTCGCAAGTGTACGAATCCCCGAGTTATACCTTAAGTCCTATCCCTTTGCATGGCCGACCGTGGATCTACTAGGAGATGTGCTGTGATTGTGAGGAGTATGAGGCTTACGAATTTTCTTGGAATAGTCAACTGGAGCGAGAAGGCCAAGCGCCGCAAGACCACCGGTACCGGCCGCATGAGGCACCTCAAGGAGGTTCACCGTCGCTTCAAGAACGGCTTCCAGACCGGCACCCCCAAGGGCGCTCGTGGCCCCGAGAGCCAGTAAATCAATCCCGACGTCGCGTTTTCGTTCTCGGAGGCTGGAGAGGGCTGGTATGATAAGGCCTGGCATTTGAAGTAGCCGAGTTTCAATGCAAGGCGAAAAAAGACGCTTTCCCCTGGAGTTGGTGTTGGGATGGTCTTTCCTTTTGCCGTCATAGCATGTTTATCCTAGAATAACGACGACAAATGAAAGACGGAAAATTTCTTGGGGTCTTCGAAAGGGAGTATCAAAAGGGAAAGCATGCATGAATTTCCTTTCTTGTTTATGGCTGGCGAATATCCCATGTCCGGGCAGATACAATATTGAGATAATCTCCAATGTGATCTGTCTACCCGCGTTCAAGCACTTCCCGCAGCGTAAGAGCTTTTCTCTTGCTCTATAGACCGGTTTCGGCCGGATCACCTAAGTTGGGTCATGAGATTGCGGCAATGTCATATTGCAAGGCCCTTTCTATCTCCATGCGCCTTAACGCCAATATTGGATATATGGATACATTCTATCCAGTCTATTCCCCTCTGCCAAACACACTGACGCCGCCATCCCTCTGTACGAAGTATAATACTTCTCTCTCCTCCCAGTTGCCCTCCGTACCCACCTCATTTTGTCCCCACGCACCTCCTTTGCTGACCCTTAGCACACCGCTTACATCCCTAGCGGCACCGGTCTCCAGGTTACGGAGTTGCATAACCATTTGGGCCCTGTGGGCCGACCCTATAGCGAACGCTGCATGCTCGGTTTCCAGCGGTGTTGCCGGGTGGGGAGCCGAGGCAGATGCATTATGTATCAATGGTGAATCGGAGGAGAGTGTCAAGATCGTTGCATGGGTATTCTGCCGGTTTTGTTAGCAGAGGTATTCATACATCGTGACGATGGCTCCTCCAGTGACCAGCACGTACCTGTTGTAATCCCATAACCCAGTCACCCATCTCCGTAGCCCCAATACCTTTATTTGGACCCGTAGCCGCAAGTAGCAAATCAGGTTGATCGACGATCAATAGAACCTCAGGTTCCTCTGCCTCACCGGGTGTAGAAGCCTTCAATTGCTGGATCACTGTAGCGATGTCTCTTTCGAGGGCGTCGAGAGCTGCAGTGCCATTTCCGGATAAATGCAGGCGTTTGACTGGTCCGATTTCCCTTGAAGCTGGGTTTGTAGAGACATTGCCCGGCCGCGGGACAGGATGCGGGGTCCGCGCTGGTACAGGGCTCGGCTGGGATCGTACGGGAAGGACTGTTCGAGGAGCGGCAGTACCAGGGAATAATTGTTGGGGAGTTGCTGTAGCAGTTGTAGTATTGTAGAATAATTCAGATAGTCCATCGATGAATGCGAATTGGCGCTTGTCTGTGAGACGTGCAAGGTCCAAGCCCTAGTACATTGTCAATATTCATGGCCATGCACGACGTAAATAAAAATATTTTTAGGGAAGCTCATAGCGCCGGACAAAAGCCAACATAATTCGAACTTCAAGGCCGCAATAGACGACGAACATGGAGAGGTAGAAACTCACCAGTCTTTTCGCTTCGGATCTCCAAAATTCCCAGCCCCGCAGAAAACTCACAAGCACAACTCTTCTATTCTTCACCCCGTCGCTTCCATTCAGTCCAAACGCTGTTTCGGAATTTGAAGATGAGCTTAGCGCCGCATAGAGGAAGCGCAACACTAGCCAATTCCCCGTTGCGCCGAGTACAGAGGATAGGACTGTGAGAGACGAGTGCGGCAGAGACGATACATAGGGCGCAAGGAGGGGTGGGAGGGGTGGTTGAGTGGGCATGGTCGAGAGATCCCCCCGTTGGCGTAAGAGGTCACGAGCTTATTTTGGTGCAGACACTGAGAAGCGAACTGGTTGCAGCAATGGCATTCGACTGTTTTTGTACGATTTCCGTGGTGAATTGAAAAATGACGTTGTATCAGAGGAAAAGTCCGAACTGATTGTATGTATGATTGGTTGATCTTCTTTTCCGCTACGCCAAGACTTTCGTATCACGGATCAACGGTGCCTGAGGTATATATATACATCTCTCGTCCACAACATTCTTTGTTTTTTCTTTCCACTTCTCCCCTTATATCAATGAATAAGCTGTTGTATTTGCTTGTCTTAGAACTTTGATAGTATACCAGTTAGTTGTATATTTAGCGAATATATTGTCTCAGACTGTTGAAGTATATATACCCAACAGCAGACTCGCATACTAGGTTAGGCAGTCAATGTCCGTCATTGCCTCACCTATCACAAATCATTTTTCAAGAGAAAAGCTTTTAGGCAGGTTGTCCTCGTATTATCATGGGGAACGGAATATAAGGCGTGACGTGGTTCAGCAAACATCTGAACCAATATCTGTAGTAACCGTAGTATATATAGTTGCATCCCAACCTTAAACTGGGAAGCGAGATGTATCCATGGGCATTCTTTACGCAACTGCCTAAGCACCGTGGATTATATAATCCTAATGGCTATTCTTAGTATAAATCTGAAGTAAGTTCTGCATAGAACTCAAGACATATCCTGTTGGAGTCTCTGAAGTTGGTTCCTGAAATTCCGGGAGACAATCCGGCGGGCGCGTCACCTGACTGGTGCCTTCCCCCACATCGCCCAGAGCGTCAATCAGCATCGTGAATTCCTTCAATGCGGAAGCATTCATCCGATCAGCCAGATATTGCCCTCCTCTCTTCTTGTATATGTGGGTTCGGGGGTTTATATCTGTCGCTGATTTCTCTCCAGTTCAAGTCCCAGGGACATGAACAATTGATTCCTTTCCATGCCTGTCGTGAGTTGACCCCATGTCCTCTCATGTTTGTCCCTATGTTCTCTGCCCTCTTTTTTCTTTTCTTTTTCTTTTTCTTTCTTTTTTTTTTTTTATGTCCGTTCCTCATGGATACCCCACCACCGTCAACGTCATAGCCCTGCTTCGCTCCTAGATTGTTTTGTATATCGAATCTTCAGAATGCTTTTCAGTCTTGCTATGTTCCCTTCTGAACATGTTAAAGTTTTGTAAATTGGAACTGGACTGAACCAAACGCCCAAAATGGCAAGCCAAATCCTTACATTATCCAACGCTATCATTTTATTTTTGGACATATACCACCGGATATAGCATAAAGCTGATGGCTAACGGTTTCTTGCAGATGACACCCGTTTTGTGTAACTGTCAGCGTGCACAAGACTTCCGATATTTGAAAGCAGACCCTTATCGATAAAGATGACTAGCACGCGAGATTCCCACTCCTATGCTGTAAGTATCTCGATGTACAAGAAGGGAATGAATTGCTAACATGGCCTTCGTGCAGTGTGACGAATGTCGCTTGCGCAAGTCCAAGGTTAGAACATGTCTCCCACATGGAGGTATCAATCCCTGGGAGTTGAAACTAATGTTGGACCCAGTGCTCCAAGGAGAAGCCAACTTGTGCGCAATGCAAGCAGCTGAACAAGGAATGCAAATATAGTCCGAAAATCACTCGGAGCCCCCTAACGCGACAGTATGTGCTCCCTTGGCTAGAAGCCTGTCCCTTTTACTGACGCTCCATTCTAGACACCTGACCTACGTGGAAGACCGTCTACAAGCTTTTGAAACAGCTCTAGGTAGACTCTTCCCAGGTGGTGATCTGGATGCAACGGTTCGATCACTTCTGCACGATCATGAAGGCCCAAAACCAGCTCCATCGTCTAAATCCTCTTCCAGACACTCCACTCCTGCCAAAACTGAAGCAGACAGGACGGAACCTGCTCCAGAAGCCCTTCCACAACAGGCCGATGGATTCGACTGGACTGAAAATAAAATCACCGTCGGCGATCTGACAGATGGCATGGCAGCTCTATCTATTAAGCCGGAGGGTACAGGATATTTTGGTTGGTATCCGTTGGCATTGCTCTGTGTTACCTTGCTTACTGACTTTCATTGCAGGGGCATCTTCAAGTGTTGTGCCGCTTCGAGCTTTATTGAAGCACGGATTTGACTTGAACTTTCCGGTAGGATCAACAAAACCAAACGTTGGCCCGGAAGGAGTACCTTTGAAGTCTCAGCTTCTGAACACCGCGCCATCTGGCGTGATTGAACAAGCTTTTATAGACGCATTCTTCTTAAACTACCACAGGAGCTATCCTTTTGTGCACGAGGCCACCTTCAGAGCTCAATTCTACGAACAAGCCACTCGCCGACATGGACAGGCGTGGCAGATACTCTTGAACACCATTCTAGCATTGGGGGCGTGGAGTGTTGGAGACGACAACTCAGACCTAGATATTACTTTCTATCAGGAAGCCAGAGGTCACTTGCAGCGAGTGTCAGTGTTTGAAACCGGTAATCTTACTCTCGTTCAGGCATTGCTGCTCTTGAGTAACTACGCGCAGAAGAGAAATAAGCCGAATACTGGATGGAATTTTCTAGGCTTGGCCGTTAGAATGGCTATGAGTCTTGGCCTTCACAAAGAATTCCCAGGCTGGAAAATAAGTCTCCTTCAGAAAGAGATGAGGAGAAGGCTGTGGTGGGGAGTTTTTATCTTTGATAGCGGTGCTGCGAAGACGTTCGGTCGACCAATTCTACTTCCCGAGGAGAGTGTTATGGACGCAAAGCCTGTTCTCAACATCCAGGATGATGTAAGGGTCCTTGTGATTTATGCATGAGAAATTTTTAACAATGACAAACAGGCCCTGACCGCGTCAACGACGACGCTGCCCCCGGAAGTCAACGGTCCAACTATTTACTCCGGAATGATCGCTCAAGCCAGGTTCCATCTGCTCACAAACAGCGTCTACCAGCGCCTCATCTCCACGCCGCCTCTTACTCCGGAAGAGACACGAAGTCTCCAGAAACCATTGGAAGAATGGTACAACGGTCTTCCCGATTATTTCAAACAGCCAAGCTTTACATCAGAATCCGATCCTTTTGCTTTGGTTCGAAACCGGCTTATGTGGCGACACTGGAACCTCAGGGTTCTATTGTATAGACCGATCCTCCTTCGATGGGCTTCGAGACGATGGACGCCTAGTTCATCTAATGAACCGGAAGACCCTCTTGAAGCCGAATGCAGAATGCTGTGTCTTCGAAATGCCCGGTTGACCATCTCCTCAATCAGTGATTTCATGAGCAACTATCTCTGCACGAGAATAGGAGCATGGTATATGCTCTACTTCCTGTTTCAAGCCGGTGTAATCCCTATCATCTTGCTTATGACAGACCCTACCAGCACAGATGCTCCAGCTTGGCTTCAGGACATCGAGGCTACCAAGAACCTGTTGTTGCATCCCTCACTGAGTAGCAATCGGCTTGCAGCTCGTTGTCTGCAAGTCATTAATCGGCTTTGCTCACCTGCGTACACGAGTACTGCTGACGATAGGCCAGCAGGTCAGCCTCCTATTCTGATGCAGTTTTCTGATCAGCTGTTTAACGACCCGACATTCGGTGCTATGTTCCCGGATGTCGACCAGGAACTGAACTTAGGCGGGATGGACTTTTCTGATTGGGTCAATTACACACCACAGGCTGAGTTTCGTTGAATGTGCGACGGTTATGATACAGTGGCCACCAGGGCCATAGACAGTATCTTGGGGAACGGTTGCATCGTATAGAAATAGGTGAAATTATTCCGCGATTACTGCAGTGACATAATCGTGGGGGTTTACCGATTCCGGACAAATAATATTGGAAACATGCACCGTTATGTGCGAGGCACTTATTGAAGGGACGAGCCTCAAACGCACTCTTCCTGCTGTACGGAGGGCTCCACTAAGGTGTCCTTGTTAGGCCCCTGCGTACCACGGAGCTCGGCCTCAATCTGAACAATACGTTGCTTCTCTTCGTGGGCTGCTGTGTCTCCGAAGATAAGGTCCATATCCTCCAATGTCTAATATCAGGCTTCCGTCAGTACAGGACAGATCTTGGTGTACGATTATAAAAATCATGAGCCACAAACCTTTCCACGAGTCTCTGGAATACAGAAGAAAGTGAATGCCAATGCAAGGAGACAAAATGCCGCAAAGAAGATATAGGTACCCCAAGTGATTGACTCGAGCATATCGGGGGTGATCAATCCGATAATACTAGCATACGATGTCAGCCAACGACCAACACGAAATTCTCAAAGAACATAAATCAACGCACAAATTGCACATCCAGGTCGCCGACGTTGTGATTGAAATGGCTTTAGAGCGAATAGAGAGGTTGAAGATCTCTGAGGGCAGGACCCATCCAATGGGAGCTATATTGTACCTAGTCAGCAATTGACTCTTTCTCAATACCAAAGGAAAGATGTAAGGGTAAACCAACCAAAGGAGTAGGAAAAGTTGATATCGTAAATATAAATGAAGGCAATACCTGCCCACCCAGCGGATTTATGGTTGACCAAATCGGATCCATACGCCCCGATAAGCGCACCCACAATCACCAGCGAGATACAAGTCCCTACAGCACCAGACATAAGTAGAACCCGACGACCAATCTTATCAATCAAGAAAAGCGCCGGCAGGGTACTGAGACAATTAACAATGCCGTATACACCCGTCGCAAGAAGAGAAGTCTACACACGTCAGAAAGAGCTTAGACAAATCAACCCCAAAACCAAGAGGATAAACACCACATACCGTATTCCCATCAAGACCCAACTGCGCAAAGATCGTTGGGGCGTAGTATATCATGGCGTTGCAGCCCATAAACTGCTGGAAAAACATCACACAGCACCCGATAGCCAACCTCTTGAACCGCGCCCACGTCGTCAGAAACGAAATATACTGCGCGGCATGCAGCCGGAAGCCAGACAAGCCCGGGAAATGGTCCCGGGCGAACATGTTCTCTAGCATGATCGACGCCTTGATCTCGAGGAACTCGTTCACCAGCGCGGGGCTGTCCCTGGCCTGGCGGCGGAGTTTGGAGAGGGCTGTTAGGGCTTCGTCGTCGTATTCTTTCATTGCCAGCCAGCGAGGGGAGTCGGGGAAGAAGATTACGCCGAGTCCTAGGATGAGGGCTGGGAGGATTTGGAGGGCGAATGGGAGGCGCCAGGAGGCTTCGGATTGTCCTGTGCAGCCGTTGGGTGGGACGTCTGTGTAAGGGTTGAAGGTGGCCGTAGTCTTTGTGGAACCTGTGTAGGGAGTGTTGGGGGCGCAGCGTGTGCCGCCTATGTAGTTTGTGCCGTAGTCGATCCAGTAGCTGATTAGGATGCCGATTGTTATTGAGACTGTTTTTTTTGGGTTGTTAGTGTGCCTGCGCTTTTGTGTGGGCTGGGGGTGGATGGGCTAACGTTGTTGGAGGACGACAAGTCCACCGCGGATTTCGGGGATGGAGACCTGGATAGAGTGAGACTTGAGGGTGTTTTACTGAGTGGGTTGAGGTGCTATACCTCTGAGATGTAGAGGGGCACGATCATGGTTAATTGACCAACGGCTAGGCCGGCAATTGCACGTCCTATACTGGTATTAGCAGTGTCCATGGCTCTATGTATACATGTCACGTACCGATGAAGAGCATTGGGATGTTCACGGCACCGCATTGGATAGCTGATCCTATCACGAAGATAACGACGGCGACATTCATGGATAGTTTCCGGCCCAGTCGATCTGCGATTGGGCCGTTGATTAGGGATCCGAACCATGCAGCTGCACTATGTAAGCTATCGTCTATTCAGATTCAAGAACCGAGATTGAGGACGCATACCAAGGAGTAGTGTTGACACAAACCATCCCTTGAAGCCACTGTCGGTGTATATTCGAGGGAATCGAGCTCCAAAGGACTCCATTGTGATGACCCCTGACACCACGCCCTGATCGTATCCGAAGAGGAGACCCCCCAGAGTTGAGAACTACAACCGATATTACGGTTAGTCGCCTGTTTGAATAGCTATATTTGCATGTGCTCACCGAAGCAACACCCAGTAAATAGGGATTCTGGTAGATGAGGGCAAAACCCCCTCGAGGGGGGTGATCTATGACGGTTGATTCCATTGCTGCTATTCAGCGCATTGTATAGTGTCACACAATGAAGTAGTGCGGTAGACACAACAACGTTCTATATACTTTGTACAATCAGTTCTCGCGATTATCTTCGGTCGACCTCCGAGGGGTGAGTGAGGTTGATCGCACGACAGTGCTCCGTTACAGTCTGGATATCATCTATAAGGGCAGCGGAGGGCAGTGTTCCGACCAATGAGGGAATTAAGCAATGGGCGGACGACATCATGAGATGCCAAAATGCGGGGGAAGGTTAAGGACCGATCTCCTTCTCTCGGCCACTTCGGCCACTCAAAACGGCGGAATTCCGACCCGCTCATCATCGGGATGTCTAAAGTTGGAGATCTCTCCTTGTTGTACAGACTGCAAACCAACCCATTGGAGTCGTTGGAGACACAAGTGTAACATAAGCTCTCAAAAAGAGTTTAAAGTTCCCATCGGTGAGGGGAAGAATTCCTTGTCACTCACTGCCTTAGGGTGTATTCCACGAGCTACTCGGGGAGATGGGACGACGCTTCGGTCGGCCGTAGTCCGATGTCAAAAGCCCCGGGAGACGACAATGAGACCTGTGGTGAAGGGTATCAGTATTAGAAGACCTTGTTCTGCAAAGCCTTTTAGTAATCATGCTGTGCGGCATAGGTCTGTAAAGCAAGGTCGAAGAGACCGAACATAATAGTGATCCCGTTTAGACGGTTCTGATTAAGAAATAAACCGTCAACTCCATGGGATACTTTGGCTTGCTAGTCGACAATGCAGCCTGATGTAGATACTGCAACCGACCTCCTCAGAGGATGATTAGTATGCATGCACATCGTTAGTTTGCAGTTTTACAGTGCATTTCAATCCAAACTCATACAGTAATGAGTCGGTGAGGTCCTTGGTCTCCTGTCTCGACATAGAGTAGCCTGAGAAGGTGAATGACAGGAAAAGCGAGTAAGTAGAAATCACCATATCACAGTCATGTCGGGATTATATCACATCACATGACATGTTCATTCTCTTAGGTACCTAAGTATATTAGTAACCTATTGATAACTTTGTGTTGCACTGAATTTCCATGTCAATAATCGATAGCAAGGAGCATTCCCCACATCACTTGTTACCGGAGGAAGACTAGATCTACTACGTATCCGTCAGATGTTTGTGGACCCGCGTACAACATTTGACCCCGAGTATGGGTCTGATTGTCCAATCAGGGCCCCTCCTCATGAGTCATTCTCGCTCATTCTTACTAGCGAATGATGGTGGCTGTAATCATACTGTATGCAAGTTGCATACAGATTTGATACAGAGAACATCATACATCCATGACTTGATAGCAGTTCTTCAGTATAAAACATGTAGAGCTTTCTTGAAGTAGACGTTGGAATAAACTACACAGAGAAAACGAGTCATTTTAATCAGAGTTCGATTTATTGACTAGATCTACGATTAAGACATTGGTGCCTGGCGTATATCATTGAACACCGTACGGTACGAAAATGTCATACATATACTAAGTATGGTATGTATTATTGCCTTTCGGGACGATCCATGGAACCTTGTTTGAATCCACTTCGATTTCCCTTACCCCCCCTTACTGCCGTTTGTTCTCCACACTTGACTTCCACGGGCATGAAGAAGAAATCCATCTCTGAAAGATTCTATATCCTACACATGAAGGATTGAATTTATCTGTCGACATCGTCAGAGCCCCACTTGCAATTCTCTCATTTTTGCACTGTAATGTCTGGATGATCAAGTTTGCTTACTATGTAATGCTTACAGGTATTATTTCTTACGGGAAAAGGGGCGCCAAATGAACGAACAATGACAGCAAGATCCTCTCAATTATAATGCCACTAATCTATACATCCAAAAGAACAGAGCAGAAACTATTTCTTTTCCCGCCCGACAAGGCATCTCAGGGCTTCCGTTTCACCTTCCAGCTTGGAGACGCGCATCTTCAATGCATCGCGCTCCTCTTTGACCTTGCGCAGTTCCTCTTCTAGACTCTTCAACTGATCCACTCGCCTTTGGCGGTACCGACGAGCAGCCAGTGTGTTCTGCTGGCGCTTCTCGATGCGAGAGGCGCTAGTGGGTTTTGCAAGGCCAGAAACTGATGGAGTAGGAACAGAGTCGCCGGAAGGAGACGATGAGCTAGGTGACGAGGTCATGGTTGCGGTTGCAGGTGGAGGCGGTAAATTAGTAGCGGGCTCAGGACAGTAATCTGGGGTTGGTTAGGTACATCATATAGAGAAATCCGAATGAGTTTCTCGGACGAACCTTCAGGACATGTCAAACTAGCGTCAAGAGATTGGAGGAATTCTTGGGAGTCATTAAGTTCCAGGATCGAAGTGAGATCATTATTAACAGGAGTTGGCAGTGATTCTATAACAGGTGTCGGATAGAGAGAAGTCGAATTGGCTATCGATGGCTGATAATAACCAGCATCAAGCGTAGCCCAAGTATCCCAGGATTCGAGGCCAGTGAACTCATCACCGGACGGGATAAATTGTGAATCTAGGGACGATTGCGGAGAGTAGGAATGAGGATTGGGGTGGTAGAGCGGATCGTAAGATTGCAAGTAGAGGTCTGCGGGATGAAGGTGGTTTTGATGGGAATCGTGACTACTGCTGCTGCGGCTGGTAGTAGAAGAATGCTCCAAGCATAAAGCATGCCACGGCGGAAGACACTGCGGTGGACATGATTGTATTGCGCGGACGGGCCTCTCTCAGGCCCGTGAGGGGTCTTGCTAAACAAATAAAAAAGGAAGCCTTAGTCCTTCGTGTAGGACTGATGATGAGGTTGAAAAGAAAGAAGGTAGGTTAGGGTGGGATTGAATCGTTTTATCTGCGGCCCGAAGAGTGGCTGAGTCAGCTTAGATCAGAATCAAGTGGAAACTCTAATCCAGAGTTCCACTGCGTAAGGGTTCGTAACAATACTGTAATACAGTCGATAACGATAGTGCTTGAAATCTACTTATCTTTTCAAACAAAAATGTGGGCCTCCAAGGAGCAAATCACTGGACGTCTCGAATCGCGCCTCGGAGTCCCCGATAATAGACCCTTAACCTCTAACTCTCTAGTAAGCTGAGGCTGTATCCAGTCACTTTTACTCAAGTAAGGACTTGCGTTAAAGAACAAAATAAAAAGCCGCCAGTGGGACCCAGTTTATTACTAATTACTCAACAAGACTATCGGCTGTTAATGTAAGAACTGAACCCACCCACTGACAGGCACAGTTCTTGCATGTCATATTATTATGCACGTCTCGATTCTTTCAAATATCTAGACTTGCATGCCAGAAGATAGTCAAGGGTATATCATTCTGATGTAATTGGAATATGGCGCCAGAGACTCCTCAAATATTGGATTCCTTTCATCGTCATCTGTAGATTTTCAGCACCTATGTATAGCGGCTTGGGCAAGTACAATATCCTAGTTACGACTTCAGATCCCTTTAGGCCACCTCCAACACCCTGGTCGTATCTGGAAGACCCCAGAAGTCTATTCAAAAGTATCTTATCCTAAAGCTTGCCACTGAAATACTCCCGAACTCCCTCTACGTTGTGCTTGCAATATCAGCGATACGACGCAATAAATACACGACAATCTTTATGCCTTTACATGTATCATGGAGGCCTGGTCTATACTGGAATGGAAAGCCTAATACTTAGAAAACCACAAAAGATGCAGATTTCATTACAAATGTTAGGTACCTCGTATGTGATACATTTGAGATCAAGGTTACGCCTGGGAAGAGTGGGGAATGTTTCACCTGATCCCATTAATAGTACACCCTGAAGAGATGCGCCGATTTACCGTCTCGGAGGAATTACGGCTAAACTCGAATTTGGTTCATAAATGTGAAGGTCATCATGTCGGTAAAAGTCCCCTCGTCAAACATGAGGGCAGGAATGTTTTCGTTCATTAAAAAGACAGATTTTAATAGATAGCTTCCACCCAGATAATATCTGTTGTAATGATCTGAAACGCAAAACTTGAAAATCACGCTCATACCCATGCAACGCGTAAGACAGACGCTAAGCAACAGACTTACAGACAGATCAATAGATGAAGAAAAGTAATGAGGAAGCGAGTGGAGGTGTGAACTCTCGATTGTACCGAAAGCAAATGACACAGTCAAAAGATCCTTCGTCTTGAGAGTGGTGATGGTGGCAGCTTTCCCTTGATAGAGCGCTGGTCAACGAGCGTAGTATGAGGTCATTGATTGCGAATCGTAAGAGAAAGATTTGGACGTGATGCTCCGTAGCGACCTGAAGTTGGGGTATTGATGTATCGGTGTTGGGAAAATACTCGAGGATCATTTGCGAGATTCACTAGGTTCCCAGTGAATTGGCTCAAAGTCTTGGTTCTGGAAATGAGCTTGATTATAGGGAGAGCTATCCGAATATTAGTGTTTGGTCATTTAAGGGTCTGCAACTGAGAGGACATACTTCTTAAATGGCGTCGTGACTGGAAGAGAATGGCTTAGATTAGGCTTCATAACCAGCGGATTCAGCCGAATCTGTGGCCCGTCGGACGAGCGGCTAGGTAAAGAGCTCATCGGCGGAGGTGCTGACATCCGAGGAGGTGGCGGAGATGCCACAGGGACAGGCGGCGAGGTGTGCATGGGAGGTTGGTAGACATCTGGAGGCGACGGGACTTGGAAAGGACTGGCCGGGGCGGCAGGGATCGGAGAGGGGCCAAGCCCAAAAGTTGGGTCCATCATGAGATTCGGAATTGACATTAAACTCGAATTTACATCGAATGAGAGAGCGCCTTGATCCCATGGGGTGTAGTTGGAAGTCATCGCGTATTGATAATTGACGACAGGCTCCATATTCACAGTAGGGTCAGCCTGGTAGAGCAAGTCATAATGACCCCTGTATAATATTAGCGCATTCTGTGAACCTTGGAAAGGATCATCATCATTAAGCTTCGACTCACGGGCGATATAGTAGACGAATGGTCACAACACTTGGCCGGGCGGGAGTCAACATGTGAGGAGTTACAGCGTCACCTTCGCTGCGGTCGAGGTATAAGATCTCAACAGCGAATCCAGTGGGCTCGATCACACCGTCAACCAGAGCTTGGAGGCCAACTTCGTCAATTTCCGTCTTGACCGTCTCGATTCGGGTTGCGCAATACTGGTCCAAGGGCAGCGAGAGAAAGGCTTGATAGCGGTGAGGGTTGAGTTTCATCCACGCACTTGTCAGGATCTATTGTACTCGCAAAAGTCAATCATCGTTGGCTAGAGAATACCCGAGCGCCTGGTATGTATAGGGTAGGGAGGGGGGCGAGGGGGGGGGGGGGAAGAGGATAGCATTTCAAGGGTTGCTACTCACTCGGAAATGCGTTATGATGGCACTCGAATCATATTCATTATTGAAAGCGTCTACGAGGAACGAGTCATCGCGGACGCCATTTTGTATCGCCTCTGATATTTGATTAAAGATCTCTTCTGTCGCATCTACGAAAATTTCATACAGATGCTCCTGCTGGCCGACCGAATTAAGGAGCACGTTCATCGACTTGATCCGAACCAGCTCGCGGTGCACTCGGAGCGTGTCTCGTAGGTTGAAAAGATTCTCGAAATATCCGAATGCAATAGCTATATCAAGTGAGTCAGCGTGGTACAGGATCTCAGAAAGGTGCGAATCATTACCTCTCCAGCCACAGTTGCCGTCCCCTTTCATGATACGGGTGAATGGGTGAGTTACTGCAAGCGCCTATGGGTGGGATAGTTAGCATTCGGCAGTTCTGTCGGGGTCCGAAGGAGCAGTCACATACGCTAGTTTTTGCGACAAAAGTAGGATCAGCACTCGCATAGTCCATGGCGATAGCACTGCTTGGTTGTTTCGTCGACACTAGAGGGCCCTTGATTTGGTGTTAATTATACTGCATGGTCAGTTCTGGGCTTAGTAAGACTTACCTGGATGTCCGGTTCAAACTCATTGGACAGCTTCTGGAACCGCTCCATTTCTTCTGTCGAGAGGGTGTTCATGTTGAAGAAAGAGGAACTTCCAGGATACACGGCACTTGGTAATTGAGAATACCCAGGGTTGAGAAAAGCTGATGAATGGGGAGAGTGATGATGGTATAAGTTGGTTGCAGAGCCTTGCCTAGCAGGGAGAGGATGATTCAGAGGACCGGGGTGATTCCAAGGGATATCCGCCAAGGACATCGCATATAAGATTCAGGGAAGTTCTGAGCCTCGAGGACCTTCTAGGTGCAGATTCACGAATAATTTGATGTCTTTAATGACATCCGACAGTGTCAGTCTGCTACGAAGCAACAGGGAACATCGAAGATCATAGCGTGATACGCACAAGGCAAAGAAGCATCTTTCAAGCAAGGTAGTTGTGCCCCCTGCTGCGCCTTATGCTCCAGAGAAGATTTGAACCGGATCAGCTCGGCGGATCGTCGACGATGATAGTAACCTACTCATCACTATCTTAGCGCACAGACCAGACAACGGCATGTAAGTAAGGAATCCGAGCAACTGGTACGATCTATAATTCAGATGCACCAATAACGGGGGGGGGGTGTACAGGCAAGTGATCATAGAGAGGAGGAACGATAACCACAGCCGCACACGATGTGGAGGGTTGTGTAACAAAGCATCGAGAGTGGACAACTGAATCCCAGGCTGAACGAGAGAGGCCAATGAGGAGAGCACGAGGAAGGAAGAGAAAGCGCAGGAAATGACGGCATAGATGACGGAAAAGGCAGTTGAAGATTAGGTCCCCAGCTGCGTGTAAGCCCGAGAGCTAAACACAGACACACACATATCACGATGTGACATCCAAACTGTCTCTGATGAACCACAGACCCGACAGACGACCTCTAGATCGGTGGTGGTCTGTCCCCTCGTGAAGGTCACAAGGATGGGAGTGAGAACGAATGACAGTGGAAGTTAAATCGGGAAATGATTCCACCTAAGACCAATGATTGAAGGGTTAACTCCAAGGATAGAGTTACTGGTACTTTTCCCTTCTGGCCGAAAGAAAAACGGTAGAAGATTCGAAGGGGTGATTTTTTTTTTTTGTAAAGGTGGGTAATTAATAACTCTATATCAAAAAAGATAGGTGATAAAAGATCAAACACAAAAAAACAAAAAAAAAATAATAGATGGATAAAAGTAAAGGAGGTGTGAACATGACAGTTTTATTTATCACCGTCACAAAAAAAAAATTTTTGATGATAAGAATAGAACTTGGGGGGAATGGTATAGAGACAATAAAACAAAAGACAAGGGCTCAGACCTTCTTCTGACGTCTTGTTTACGAAAACAGTGCATACACGTGCCTGAGGTGTGTATGCGGATGTGTAAAATGAAATGGTAGTAGTAGTCGCAGCAGGAAATGATGCGATGGAGGATACTTTTATTGCCCTTGTGAAAGGGGGAGGCGGTGGGTGAGATCAATGATGCTCAAAGAAAATAGTAGATATTAACAGGAATAAGATGGAAAGATGACAGGGATCCGAGGGACCTAGCGAGGAGAAAATGGGATAGGGTCGGACGACGATCTGGGTTTAATAAGGGAATTTAATATCACCGACACATTCGTGGGGAGAAGCTTCTTCGTGGTTGATTGAGGATCGGTGGACAGCGCGGGGTTTTGATTTCTTTAGTAGTGGAATGGCTAGTGGTGAAACTAATAGGGTCTTGTTGGTAGAAAACAAACCACTAGTCGCGGTTTGCTCCAGTCAGAGGCCTTGAAAGAAGGTAATCCATGGAGTGCAGCCGATCAGAGGGTTTAGAAAAAAAAAATAAGAAATTATGGGCAAGTTGAATAGCACACAAACCAATAAAAGAAATACGGTCAGTGGACTTACTTACGATGGGGCTGTCATAGGACGATGCGGGAATGGAGTTTGTGGGTGGGGAGGAAAAAAGAGAGGGTTAAAAAAAAAGAGAAAAAAGAAAAGAAAAAAGAAAGTAAAACAAAAACAAAAAAAAGAAGAATGAAATGACCTGCACATGAACTTGAAAAACTAATGAAATTCGGCCCTGGTTCAAATGTCAATCAAAAATGAGAATCTGCAGCCGATGGGCGATAACAAGGAAAAAGGGAAAAATAAGATTAAGATTAAATGTAGTTATAGTAGATCCTTAAAGAAAATTAAAATATCGGAATTAAGAAACAGACTGAAGTGTGATATAAAAATAAAAGAGCTCAACTGAAAACCACCAGTCTAACAGGGTTAATCAAGAGAAAGTAATGATCAATGATCATGAATGGAGGTGAGGTGGTGGACGTCAGTTAGCGTAGCAAATGCAGCGGAACAACCGGTTACTAAGTGGTTGATTTGAACTTGTATGGATCCTCAAATGACGATCCATCCAGAAGCTACTTTGTTTTATTTTTCATTATTCTATTATTCTATTATTCTTTCTTTCTTTCTTTCTTTTTTTTTTTTACTTTCTTCCTTTCCACTCCCTCGGTGTCTCTGCCTCTTTTAGGGCCCTGATATTACCGAACTTTCCCTCGTCTATGAATTAATCTATTACCCTACCTATCCACCAGTATGAGGTATGTACATACAACCAAATTACCTTACTGCCACCCTATCAGGAAGAACCCCGATACTAGGTGCTAAGCACAGAGATTATGCCGCCGCTCCATGATTGGACGGAGAAACGCTAGTTGCGGTGACTTGACTTGCCCGACATCACCGGTGATATCTGCAAAAGTGGATCATGAGTTTGATAACAACGTTCGGTTCTTCAACTATTGGCATTTTTTCCATGGCTATGACTCAACAAGATGCTCGAAGCAAGTGAAATAGTAAACAGCTCCATACCTCTTCTATTGTGTAAACTAGTAGTAGTATGGAACAATATCCAGATTTCGGAACGACCATCCGGTCACATTGGATCCAATGCAAATGCCGAGCGGTGTTTGTTCGATTGGGGGCTGTGAGATCTTCGGTGATAGTGGTGGTAGTAGTGTGTTTCTAGGACAAGTCTGTCTCGGAATACTTTTTTTATTTTTTTTTTCTTTGAAAAAAATATCATTTTTATTTCTTACCCTTTTTTTTTGCCTTTCAGTTTCTCTTTCCTTGGTCTTGTTTACGTGCGTCTCAACATATCCACGGGATTAAGCCGAGGGCTCAGATCACAACTGTCTGTGCAGAACTCAACCATGGAAAACTCAGTCCGACAACATGTAATCTCCGTATTTGATAGGCACAAAGAAGAAGACAATGAGGAATCGCCCGATCTGAATGCAACGTCCTCGATCTCCATGCAGTGGAAAGCGGCCACATGTCCCGACATGGATGACAAACGCTGGGGTGGAGCAACACTAAGCGGAAACTAACGCCGCTGTTGAGAACTTGAGATTCGCTCTAACAAGCTCACTAGTCTAGTTGCCATACTCCGTCCTGCTTTCGGAAGAAGAGTACGAACTGGGTCTTTGCTAACTCCAACTAGTGTTAGAGACGACGACCCACGGGGGGTTACACTTTTAGCAATCGATTCTAATCTAAAATCCGTTCGACGGTCCCTGTTACTTGCCGTCTTGCATGCAGCATACGAGTGCGGAGTAAGTGATACTCAGTATTACTTACTGGCTTAGAATTCCGGGTAACTTTGGGTGTCCCGCTTTACGAGAAAATAATGGGTTATCTTAACAAGCCCGATGTGAGCTCTCTCCAGTGAACGCATCCCTATCCCCGTGTCCCATTGATGGTCGTATTCGATGATCGATCCAGGATTCCAGACCCATTTCCTGTGTCAAATTAATGTTGAGCTACTCTGTAAGGCCTCCAATGATCGTGATACATCGCCAGTGCCTCAAAGAAGCAACGTTACGATGATCACGCTAGGATCGTGATTATGCGGATAGACATCCTCAATCACCTATAGATTGTACCCTACCACCCTATAATCTGCAGTGCTATAACTCAAATACCATGAGCCACCGGGTAAGATAGTGAGATCAGACCACCACCGCGAGCAATCCTGGTCAGTGGGATGAACCGTCTGACGCCCGCTGGCCCATCCGGCCGGCACACCCATGTCCTCGGCTACCAGCTTCTCCAACCTGTCTGGTTGGAGCGATAATCCGCTTTTTGTTAATTCTCCTCTTCTCTTCTGTATGCGCATAGGGTTTGCCAATCGTCATGCTCAATTTTCCACCGTCTAGGGTGCTTTTCGATCCAACTAGAAGCAGACTTGCATATGCTACCTCGGCTGTCGCTCCGAAGCCATTGCCCTCCCGGACGGCTTTGTGATTTCGTATTCGTCCGTGAGCTTCTTATACCTGCTACCTTAGGTACCTATCTTGGGTCGCTTGCTAGCGGTTGCCTCTTCTCTCTCTCTATCCCCCTCTCTGGTTACATCCCGCCCCGTTGCACATATTCCTCGGGTACCTGAATGCCGGGATGATTTATGTTTTTCAACTATCCAGCCTAGTAAACCACCCATAGAGAGACGTCCATCGGACTGGGGTTCGGAGTTCCGGCTCTTGATCCTAATCCCAGCGTGCTGGAATACCGCTTTTCTCCCCCGCCTCCCTCCCACCCAGTCAATTTACGCGGACAAACAGTTTGAAACGCAGCCAACAAAAATCAAATACAACCTAGACGAATGAATGCACGAAGACGACCACAACAAAGAAAGTCACCCCTGTACTTAGAGTTCTGATGTGATCACAGTCATGATCACATTCCAACTATCTACAGTTTAGATCGAGGAGGCTTATTGAATATCGCCACTATCATATGGTTCCTTTTTCCTGGCCTATGAGTGACTCCTATAAACGGGTAGCTCAACATCCACAATCCAGGTACTAACTGGAAATCATGAGAGCTACACAGTAAGGTTAAAAGTGGGTGGATGCGGACCCCGGAGATTCTTCGGTGCCCTAACCGTCCGGACAAGGATGAAGATTCGGTATAACCAATGCTAATATGATGTGGCCGATTACACGCCAAGGATCCTTCCAATGGTACTGTAGGTACCTGACATTGATCCCTATCAGAACCTATTTCAACGCTGAGTAGGTACCGAAACGACACGTAAGTAACATACCTCATCACCAAACGTTAAATGATAGCTTCTATCCAATAACACCACTATCGCACACGCAGGGACCCCATCGAACTAGCTCCTAGTAGCTGATGGACTCCAGGAAGCAAACAAACTCCATTTCTACCGAGCATGTATTATGTATGTCCACATCATAAGCTAACGTTATCGTCACCGTCACCGTCCTTGTATCCACTAATCAAAAAAATCAACCCTAGTTTTTCTAAGCGCCTCGGGAACGAACAATGAAAAGCATACGGAGGACAGAAAAGTGGATTTTTTTTTTAAAAAAAAAAAGAAAAGAAAAGAAAAGAAAAGAAAGAATAAAAGGGAAGGCCCACGGGACTTCTCCGTCCCCCTCCTAACATGATAGCCCAACCTTCAGCGGGGCGGACTAGTATTCGATGGCAGGCGGCCAATTGTCGAAAGTACTCCAGTAACCAGGTTCTGTCCCCTCTTGGCAAGGCGAGGGAGGGGGGGGGGGAAAAAAAAGAAAGAAAAAAGAAAGAAAGAAAAGGGAAGAAAAAGAAAATTACTAAATTAACGAACGCACACACGCATTTTTCTGCCAATGACTCCGCTCGGCCGCAGTAACCTATAATTGTATGAATTATTTCTACCGATATGTTGCGACGATGGTAGACATTATCCATTTAGTTTAGCAATAATTATCGATCGAGAGAGAGAGAGAGAGCAAGAGTGAGCGAGGCCCCTCCCCATTACACCATTTACATCCAATAATTACTATCCCTTCCGCTGGTTGATCGCCTATTTTTATATTGAATCTGCTTAGAGAATCCCTGTCTTTGTTGTTTCTTCGCTGAATCATTGACTAGTCCCATTAGCCATCTAACGCAAGGCGTTTAGTTCACTACGTCGGTACGACCCGTGTCTCCATTCCACCATCTCTAACGATAGCTAACTAGATCAAAGCTGCTGACTTCCGGTGGAAATCCGACTTGTCACTAATCACTAGGTTCTCCTCCGAGGCTTCGGCATCGACCTTGACATTATCCCCCCAGTAGTCTGAATATACCTTCGTAAGATAATATCTATTCCTAGAATCACATATCTTGATCCAAGGAGGGGGTAAAACAGAAGAAACAAACAACACATATACATGCATCTGCAAAGTCCACTGCGCACCTTGTCTTTTTT